CTCGCCTACTACCGCGACGACAGTTTCATCGAGCAAAAAGAAGACGAAATCCGAGAAAGAAAGCAAAAACCAGACGAATCTCTATGCGAATTTGTAGACGCAATGTTATTCTTATACAATCAATACCCAGGGAAAATTTCCAGCGAGAAAAAAATTCACCGCATATTCATAAATATGAACACCAAGTACAAGCAACAACTATACAAGTTCAAAGATTTAGATATCATCAGTTTCGTCCGTGAAGCACGAGAATTAAGCAAAGCGCTAGGCGAAAATAGCGCAACAAAAGCAAAATCAGAAGCGGACACCAAATTAGACGCATTTAACGTACATAAACAAAACATATTAACACGCGAAGACGTAACAAATATAGTAAGCACAGAAATGAACAAAATATGCGGCGAACTAATCAAATCGCTTAATTTGCACAGAAGCCGCTCGCGCGAAAGGCACAACTCAGACCGACGCGGATCGCAAGATAGAGCACGCTACAGTGGCGGACGCGACAATCGCACTTCGCGCGACCGGGCCGATTATTACAACACGGCAAACAGAACTAACCAACAACAGTACAGAGACAGGCAACCCAGCGCCGACCGAACACAAAATCGCAACTCATCAAACGATAGGAATAACAGAAAAAACAATCCAGACAGATACAATAGAGCAAACAGATATAATAGCTCTGATAGATATAATAAAATAGATAGAAACGACAGTAGAGATAGATATAATAACCCAAGAAGACATAATAGCTCAGAAAGAGATACCAATACCCAGAAATATAACGATACTAGGCGCAGCAACAGCCCATACACACGTTCAAACTCTTCAGATAGAGAGGAAAGTTCAAATAGCCGCGAAAATAACACTGATAAACAAGCACAAGTACCAAAAAACCAATCATAGACTACACTAAAAAGGCCGCCGTGTCGTCTACCGCAAAGGCCACCAAGAAGAGAAGTACAAAAAGGAAAGTAGCTTTCGCAGACATAACACCGTCACTGGATTCATCAGAATTTTCAGAGTACACCCGCTATTTCCTTGAAGCATACGTAGGCAAAACGAAAGTTAAAGCGTTGATCGATACAGGCGCCCAAAAAACAGTAATAGGAAAAATCTACAAGAAAGTACTCGCGGAAAATAACATCACCACCATCGACCCTACAACACAATACGTCCGTATGGCAAACGGTGAGATAAACCAATGCGAGGGAACATTTTCAGCACCGATCTCAATCAACGCAATAACGAAACAAACAAAATTTATTATAGTCCCGAAAATAAAATACGACCTAATTATAGGATTGGACACAATGCGAATATTAAAAATGAATATCTTTACCGGTAAAAACACATACGCACTCGAAGGTAACAACAACGAAGAATTCGTATTCGACCTATGCTCAATAAAGACAAACGAGGCCCGAAACAAAATAAAACCCGGATTGTCAAAACTTACAACAGAACAAGCTCAAAAATTGAAAACCTTACTAAATAAAATTTTGCCCCCTAAATCACAAAACGACAGCGAAAAATTACCAACAACACCGCTGCTTGAATACGAGATCAAATTAAAAGCCGACGCACAACCAGTGAAACAACGATGCTACCCAGTATCACCGAAGCTAGAAAAGCGAATGCACGAGCACATAAAGGAACTCGAAAGCAAAGGCATCATCGAAAAATCAGACAGCGAATGGTCATCACCGGTAATAATGGTGAAAAAACGCGAAGGGAAATACCGTATGTGCGTTGACCTGCGCGTAGTCAATAAACTCACCAAGCGCGACGCATACCCCATACCCATTATGGAAATAATTCTAGCCAAATTAAAAGCCGCGCGCTATGTGAGCCAAATCGATCTAAGTATGGCCTACCATCAAATACGTTTAAAGAAGAATTGCCGAAATATAACAGCATTTTCCCCCTTTGGCCTAAGCCTATGGCAGTACAAGCGCCTCCCCATGGGATTCAGCGGAGCAGGAGCAGCGTTCCAACGCTTAATGGACAAAATTTTAAAAGAGTTCGAGCCGTATTGTTATGTATACCTCGACGACATAGTGATAATAACAGAAACCTTCGAGCAACACCTAATGATCTTAAAGAAAATGGTACAAAAACTAGTGCAAGCACATTTAACAATAAATAGAGAAAAATCGCACTTTTGCAAATCAAGCATTAAATACCTAGGATTCATAATAGACGAACAAGGTATACATATAGATCCCGAAAAAACAGAAGCCATTAAGAATTACCCCAAACCACGTACATTGCGCCAACTACGGAGATTCCTGGGAATGGGATCATGGTATAGGAAATTCATACGCGACTTCGCAAAACTTGCACACCCTTTAACCAGCCTCACAAAGAAAAACATAAAATTCCGTTGGAAAGAAGAGCACAACCAAGCGTTTAAAACAATAATAGAAGCGCTAATAAGCGCACCAGTTTTGCATATCCCCGATCAAGAAGCCCCATATTTTCTACACTGCGATGCAAGCGATACAGGTATCGGAAACGTACTAACACAGAAGATAAGAAAAGAAGAAAAAGTCATCGCCTACGCGAGCAGAGCCTTAAAACCAAATGAAAAAAATTTCTCCACAACAGAGCGCGAAAGTCTAGCAGTTCTCGAAGGCATACGTAAATTCCGAGCGTATATCGAAGGAGATACCTTTACAGTGATCACAGATCACGCAGCACTTAAATGGCTGTTCGCCAAGAAAAACCCTACCGGTAGATTAGCACACTGGATAGATGAGCTGATGGGATACGAATTCGAAGTGATCCATCGCAAAGGCACATATAACGTAGTACCCGATTGCTTAAGCAGAGCTTTTGAAACTGAGACAGAATCACAAATCGACGCCTTCGAACTAAACGAACATTCCGGGAAATGGTACAACAAATTAATAACAAGCGTGCAGAAGGCACCTCATCGTTACCGCGATCACAAGATAATAAACGGAAACCTATACATATATAAAGAAAATAAACGGCACAACAACACAATAGACAACTTACATACGTGGAAGCTAATAGTACCAACGAACATGATAAACGCGATATTACATGAATCACATAACGAACCAAGCGCGGGACACCAAGGAATCGACCGAACGTTCACCAAAATTAAAACACGTTACTATTGGCCTGGCATGTACCGCGATACGCGTAAATATGTACGCGAATGCCACACTTGCCAAATGACAAAATACAACCAAAGCAAAAAGATCGGCCTAATGAGCACACGTGAAGTAACCGAACCGAACCAAATAATAGCAGCCGATTTAATGGGAAATTTCCCAAGGAGTAAAAATGGCATGGAATACTTACTAATATTCGAAGACTTATTCACACGCTACGCAATCTGCCAACCACTACGAAATAAATCGAACGAATTAATCAAAAAGGCAATCGAAAGAGAATTATGCGCACGCGTTGGCACACCCAAAAAAATTAATAACAGACAACGGGAAAGAATTTATAGCCGATAATGTAAAAAACTTCCTAGAGGAAAACGGTATAGAACACGAATTAACACCCGTGTACCACGCACAAGCAAATCCGACGGAACGCGTAAATAAAATGATTAAAACAATGATCAGAGCGTTCATCCCAGAAAATCACAAAGAATGGGATACACATATCCCACAGCTACAATTTGCGTATAATACGAGCGTAAACGCAACCACGGGCGTCACGCCCGCATTTTTAACATTCGGACGAGAATTAGAACCCCCCAAATGCTGGCGAAGAAACATAGAAAAAATTAAACATAAATCGCCAAACTCAGACACGATAGAAATCAATAAACAAAAACCATCACCCATTCCTAATAACGAAAATAACGAAAATAATTACACAGATCACATCAGCAACGAAACTACAAACAAAATAATAACCCGATCACAAACGAAAAATGAACCAACAACCGAAACACAAAATAAAACAATAACAAAAAAGAATAAATCAAAAGACAATGTAACTAAATGGGTAGAGCGTATGAAAAATTACCGCAAATGTTTAAGCTCACACAGGAACGCGTGAAAAACCAACAGGAAAAACAACGAAACCATTATAACAAAAAAAGAAGGGAATGGCAATTTAAAATAGGCGATCTAGTAAAACATCGAAACAAGCAGCTGTCTTCCGCAACCAAAAACTATAACGCGTCACTCGCGAATACGTACGTGGGCCCTTGCGAAATTGTACAACAACTCGGCAAAAATACATATAAACTAAGATATAAGGGCAAAATATTAAAAAGCCATTGGCACGCGAGCGACTTACACGTATAACACCCCAACGCTACAAAGAACACAGGAAACGCCAACATCAACCTACAGAAGAAAGACACCGAATCAACGCTAAACCTCCCAGCAAAACAGCCCCCAGCAGAGAAAAGAAAAAGGGGAAGACCATGGACATTACAACCGCCATAGCACCATAACAACAAAAAAATCATTCCGGCGCAACAACCTACATCGGCGCCGAAAGAAAAAAAAAAACACGCGCGCAAGAACACGCACACGCTACAAATAAAAGTTTTTTTTAAGAAAAAAACGCCCGGCGCAGGCAAGACGCATACGGCCAAAATAGCCAAAACAAGTCTCGACAGGCCCAATAACGAGAAAAGGCCACCGCCACCTCCCTCCCAACCAACATACACCCACAGGCGTGCAACAGCACATAAGCGCCAAAGAGCAAGAAAGAGACAGACAGAGACCCCCTCCACTCGACACACCTAGAGAAAGCGCGCGCCGGCAACAAATCGTAGCCGACACTCAAGCAATCGGCAGCAAGCTGCATCAGCACAACCCTGTAATTACGCATCAACTTCTAATTCTAAAAGTGCATACGACAGTTACGCGTTACAGTGGCAGTACCTACGGTGGCAAATCGAAAAGTACACATAAAAGTGAAGTGAAACAAGTGTCAGTGCAGTAAAAATAAAGCACAACAGCCGCGCGTGCACGTGCAAATCAGTGTAGACAATGGCGGGCGACGGCGAAGCCGCGAGACAGACCCGCGACATGGAGGACCTGATACAAAGACTCCAACGCTGGTCGCCTTTCGCCCGATCATCAACACGCATAACAACCATCGACACGCAAACAGCACCCGCCGGGACAGACAAGGAAGAAAAACCGGCAGACACAGCAGCCGCCAGCACACAGACAAGACCCATCTGCGTCCGCGAAGCCGGCACGCAGACGAGCACGCACACAGAGAAGCAACAACAAACGCACACGCACCGAGACACCGTGCGCTACACAGAAATAGGTACAATCTCGTTGCCAGAATTCGCCGATTTTAAATGGCCAGAGCCGACAGAGGAGAAGAAAAAAGAAATGCAACGGGACAAACAGCTTACAAAAAGGAACAAAGCCGAGGAGGAACGCCGAAAAGCAACCGAGCAGGCGCGCCAACAAGAAGCGGCCGAAAAAGAAGAGAGGCAACGCAGGGAAAAAGCTCGTGCCAGAGCAGTGCCAGCCGAGATCCAACTCGCGTGGCGAGCACATTCCTTCCGCACAAACCACTCAATCGAAATAGCGCGGAAGAAGCTCAAACTAAAACAGCTGTGCCAGGACGCAACGAAAATGGCAGTGCCAGAAAGATCGCGGCCGGAAGTATCGCGCCGCCTACGACAATATATAGCTACACATGAGGAGATAGAGGAGCAGATCGACACAAGAGCGATCACCGAAACCATCTAGCTACTGCAACACCAAGCCGAGGTAATAGCAAAGCAAATAACAGAAGAAACCGAACATAACACAACACAGCAACACAGCACAGCGCAGCAGCACAGCGCAGTACAGCAGCATAACAGCACAGCGCAGCACAACAGCACAGCACAGCACAATAACACAGCGCAGCACAACAGCACAGCGCAGCACAACAGCACAGCGCAGCACAGTAGTACAGTACAACACGACAGCACATCAACACAACACAACGCAGCAACCGTCGCAGCACAGCGGAACAATACAACAACATCAGCACAGCAATACCCGCAACAACGAACGGTGAGCGAGGTATTGCCACGCCCACGACCGACACCAAGCACAGTAACCAAAAGAGGATCACCCGACCAAACGAACGAGCACCGCAGTGGAAATCCGAGAAGGATGTTCTACAAAAACAAATACGACGTCCCCGGAATGGAGAATCTGCGGAACTTACTAACCAAGAAATTGGTAAGCAAACAGTGGCACCCGCAGAATGAAGATCAACGGGAGCTGCTAAGTAGAGCACACCGTGAAGAATATGAAAGAAGAATGCTACGCGCACAGAAAAACAGCAAATAAGAAGTGGTAGTGTCAGTGCTAGCCAAAAATACGTTTTTTTTTCTTCCTTCGCGTATTTTGAATGGGAGATGGCCGTCAAGAGGCAATGAACAACGTGAACAGTTTTCATGTTCTTCGTTTCTGTAAGCCTTTTTTTTCTTTCCTATTAGTATTAACTAAAATAAGACATTATTATTTATATAAAAAAAAAACCGAACCGACGTTACCGTACAAAAATTATTTTCCATTGTACACCATTTCGCGCCACAACAAATATGTATCAATAGCGACAAAAATTATCCTTTTATTTCCTTGTAAATTTCGTTAATTAATTACATTATATTTTTTTTTATATGTTTATTATTCTATTGTCATAGCACTGACTCGAGTCGTAAGTATTAAGCCAAAATGTACAAATTAAAACATATCAAAATTAATAAAAAAAAAAAAAAAAAAAAAAAAAAAAATCAACGCACACGATAAGAATTAATTTAAAAATAAACAAACATAATGAAAGGGTGCACGCCCCATACAAACCCTTAGAGAGAAAGAGAGAGTAACACGATGTGTTACAAAAATCATACCGCGTTTTAATACTCATAACTTTAAATAACTATTAATTTTGCCACAATGTACAATTCCTCTTTTCCTTCATAGAGTATACGTAGCACATGGTGCAGGCATTCCCACATCTCGTGTGCACGAAAACCTCGGGTTTTCGATTACGGCGGGGGCAGTGTAACGTGGCAAGCGATAGCTTAAGACGTCACACATATCGACACCACAGACAAGCGTCAGGAGCCGCGCACACGAGCTGCTGACGAACTCGCGACTTGTACAGAGAGAGAGAGAGCTAGGACCGAAGAGAAGGCAGCGCGCTCGCGGCTATCAAGCATACACGGGTAACCACGAAGCGCGAACTAGAAACGGAGTGGGGAGCGGCGACGATATCGGCCGCCGAATATCACGCGAGCGAGGCCCCGAAGCTTTTTCGCTCCGTTCGTGGCACGCGACGCATCTCCCGCGGTAGCGCTGAAGACCCGTCGACCGCGCGCGGCCTTGACGACGAACGACCGTAATGGACAGCTTCACCGTCGGCCCAGCAAGCGCACGCGGCGAAGGCCCCTCCTGGCAGCGCATATCAAGGAGGTAAAATATCGGACGAGCGAGTGCAAATCGTGGAAAGAACCGCGATGTCCACCGTATAAGCGTAAGCATTGCCGTACTTTACTCTCTCTCGCTCTCTCCCAAACGAGCACATAGCTGTGCGAGAGCCGGCTCGGCGGAGCCGGCTAGTTTGTACATCGGCGAGGCGAGGCGAGCCGAAACGAAATCGGCGACAACCGCTGTGAAAGGTTGAAGCGCGCCTTCGGCGTTGTAAGGGGAGTGGTTCAATAAAGGGATACGGAAGTCAACTCCGGGCTGTCTTTTATTGGGCGCCCGCCTCCTTTCCAATTGCATGTACATTACAGGTTTAAGCAGGAGTACGAACGCACGCCTCTCCGCGGGCAATCGCTAGCGCTGCGATTGCGTACACCTGAGCTAACCGGAACTCCTCCTGCGACGTGTGATGCGATGCTAACTGTTGTCGATATTAGCTAGCCCGGGAGTGCTAATAATATCGCATAGACCACGTCACACCCTTACAAGGGCAAAGTCTACTGCCGCTGACACCACCACCACCACTACTACCACCACCACTACCACCAATGCCATCACCATCACCACCACTACTGCCACTGTTACCGCCGCCACCACTACTACTACCGCCACCACCACGACCACCCCCACTACCACCGCTACCAAGAAGCGGAAAATAAAACTGAAGAAAATAGAAACCGTAAATATAATGTATCCCGGAATGGTTCGAAGGCCAACACAACCTTCCAAACCATACGGTAAAAAAAAAAATTAAAAAAACATCATGTAAATAAATAATTGTAATATTATATTCAATAATTATATAAATAAATTAAAAAATTAATAAATTATATAACAAAAAGTGTCTCTCTTTCTCTCTCTCTCTCTCTCTCTCGCTCTCCTCCGATAGTAGGGTGCTTCGTTAGTAAGCTTATGCTGGCTGAGTCTAGGCTCACGGAGAGGGGGTAGCGTCTCTAGCTGCTTGCTAGGAGCGTGCATAGTATAGCCCTTGGAGAGGGAGTAACGTCTCTTGCTGCTTGCTAGGAGCATGCGCCGTATAGCCCTTGGAGAGGGGGTAGCGTCTCTAGCTTGCTAGACGCATAAGCTGTATAAGCTGTATAGTGAGGATGCTGCTCCCTCTCTCTCTCTCTCTCTCTCTCTCTCGCTCTCCTTCGACAGTTTGATTTAATTTGATTATTAATTAATAAAACTTATAGAATTTTCGATTAATTATTAATTTATTGTTGATTCAACTGTACATTGAATATAATACAGTCTGTCTATAATCTTTATTTTCAGTAGTTGACATCGCTATATTGAAATATTGATTTGAATTTTTATATGTAATATTGTCAACTTGATCAATACCTTCCATTTCAGATTGCTTTCGTCTAGCTTTTATCAATAAAAACAATCTTTGTGCATTTGTAACGGCACATACAAAGTTAGCTGGTTTATTGTAATGATATGTACATATTGTTTCTAATGGGTAAGGTAATGCGCTCATTGGTGGACATCTCATCTCGCTTTCAAGTTCTAAAATTTTTCTAAAAAAGGAAAAAAATTTTTAATTAATGATATTAATTTCTAACAAAACAAAAAAAATAAAAATACTTACTTTTCAGGTAAAATTTTTTGTAACCATTGTTTCTTTTTTAATCCTTTTACATAAATATTTCTAGAATTATTTAAATGATTGTTTAGTACACGTGCTAAATTTTTATATGGAATAAGATCGGATCTCCATAATAAACCATGATGACACGTTTCTAAGAAATGATTCACTTTTCGACACTTGAAAGGAAGTTGAAACCAATGATATGGTGGTTCGAAGAAAAACACAGTTGGAACAGTATCTACATCTAATGGTAGATATGCGAGTTCTTTATAAATAAGAGACTCGTTGAAACTTTAAAAGCCTTGAAAGTCTAATACGAAATCCATTAGAAATTAATGTGAACTCTACGAGATCCCAAAACCGTTATGAGAATAGAGCCACGTGTTTGTTCTACATAAAGCCTATACTTCACCATTCGAAAGTAGAGGGCGTCATAGTCACCATATTTTACCATTCGAAAGCATAGGGCGTCCCCTATAGTCACTATATAGTATGATTATAGGTAGTTTGTATTAAATTCCAACAATATATATATTTTTTATTTTCTTCTTTATTGCAAAGCATTGTATACATTGATTACATAATGTTTTGTTAATCTCAAACTAATTTTTTAACAAGCAAAATTTTTTTAAACCAATTTTAGAGCAAACCCGTTGTGAAAAAAATAATAATCAAACAATCATCTCAGGTTACAACACGTGTGTTTCGTTGGTAAATATCCAACCTCATCAGATCTTTATTAAAAAAACAAAACGAGAAAATGGTTACAATAACAGATATAAACCAAAAACAAATAAAAATCACGCTAACAAAACATTTACCTCAATTCGCAAGTCACAATCAAATTAAATATCACAATAAAGTCAAAAATACACTGTCAAATATAATATTCGCTCAACTACACAAAATTCAAATCGGACAACGACTATGAAATAATGTAAATCAAAACAGTGTCTGTTGCCTTTTATACCAAAACAAACCACCGGTAGACACAATCAGATGTATCCCCTCTCCTATGCATGAAAACGGTACATTAAGCATCATTGTACATCAAAACAAAATAATAAAAAAATATTGTAAATAAATATGAGATCAGTCAGCTAAGATATCAAATAAACCTTTATATTGTTTACTCAGTAAACTAGTGTTTTCTTGTCTATTTATAGTGTTATAAGACAAATTAATATAAATCATTTCCGAAATTAATCTCTTACAATAGTTAGACTCTCTATCTAAAATTATTGTGTTGTCCCAGTCAAACGAATGTGTAGGATAATTTTTCAAATGCATCGGAACCGGAAGAGATTTATCTAAAGGTGTCTTCCTATGCTCCTCTATGCGTTTTTTTAAACATCCCTTAGTTTGACCAATATATACAGACGGGCAACTATCACAATAAAATTTGTATACTACATTTGTCTCATTCCATTTTTCTGTAACATCTTTACCCAGTTTTATTATGTTGTCCAGCTTATGATTAATTAAAGGTATACAATGAATATTAAACTGTCTTAAACTATGGTTACATAAGTTAAAAAATTTTTTATGAAAAGGCAACGTTAAAACCATCGATTTAATATTCGTATTTTTTCTATCATCCTGAGTAGCACTACTATTCCAAAATCTATGTTTACGAATGCGATCCAATATACATGTTTTAACAAATTTATCCGGGTAATCATTATGTTTTAAAATGCTCTTAACAATTTTTATATTGTCTTCATGAAAGGTTGCATCAGATAGTAATAAAGATCTATCAATCAGATTATATACAATGTTTCTTTTTTGCTGAGTTGTATGGTTAGAATAAAAATTCAAAATTCTGCCTGAACAAGTCAGTTTTTGGTACCAATTAGTAACAATTTTACCGATTTTGATTATTAACGAAATGTCTAAAAAAGTTATACTATTATTGCATTGGATTTCATGTGTAAAATTTAAATGATTATTGTAATTATTAAAAATGACCAAAACCAATTGCAAATTATCCCTTTTTATACATAAAATAGTATCACCTACATATCTAAAATAAAAAAGTGGTGAACAATTATATTTTTCTCGCAAAACATTTAAACAATCTGTCTCTAAATCATCCATAACTAAATCAGCAAACAACGGCGATATTGGAGAACCCATCGGTGTACCAAAAATCTGTTTGTAAATTATTCCATCAAACTGGAAAAAAGTATTATCAAACAAAAACTTTACCGTATCAACTATTTCAGTAAAAGGTATCTCCGAAACAGAGTGAATCTTGTTAAAT